GTTTGCTTAAACATATTCCAGACATCAGACATTTCCCAAAAAGGCTAAGTTTTAGAGGTTCAGGGTCTCTTTTTAGAGTGACTCATTAAATAATTACTGCTATTAGCAGTTTAGGTGAAAATGAACTTTTCTGTCTGGTCAGGCTATAAATTTCCTACTATCAAATTATTTTAGAAAGACTATTGACCAGTATAGTTATGTCATAAAGAACGGAAAGAGTCTGAAAAAATCCACAAAAGGCATAAATGTGTCTCCCCATGTAGCTGGCCCACAGTGCATTTCCAGAAACTTTATCCCAGCCCTAATTTAATTCATTTATACCTCTTTCCCATTCTTGAAATACTCTTGTATGCAGATGAAGAAACAAATTCAGGAAACTTTACCTGCAGCAACTTAATGTGTTAAGATTTTATTGTATAGATGACAGATATTTTTTCCTTGATTGGGGATTTGAGTCATGTTGACGGTGAGACACTGTCTTTTTGACAATTTGTGGAGGGGGCATGTCTGTTCTGTTTTCTTTTCTTCTTTATTTCTAAAATGGTAGCCATTAGAGATGTTCACCAAAATTATGGCTTTCCTTCTTGCAGGTGCATAGTAAGAGTAGAGTATTCTGGTTCTTCTGCATTTAGATGCGACCCTGCGGTTCACTTCGATAAATGAGGAATCATCAGTAATATGTGTTATTTAGAGGCAAAACTTTAAGAACAAATGTGCAATTCATCAAATCCCCTCCAGTGTGCCACAGCTGTGGGTGACCCCCATATGGAGTTTCCTTCAGCCTGCCACTCTTCACAAAGATCATGTGGAGGAGAGACCCCTCCAACCACAGTGAACATTGAACATGAATGTGAAATAATCTTTTGTTCCTGTAAGTCCCAGAGATTTTTTTATGGCAGCGTAACTGAGCCTTTCCTGACTAATATGCCTAGGAAGGTATCTCATCTTTTTCCTTTCCTTTCCTTTCCTTTTTCTTTTTTCTTTCTTTCTTTCTTTCTTTCTTTCTTTCTTTCTTTCTTTCTTTCTTTCTTTCTTTCTTTCTTTCTTTCTTTTTCTTTCTTTCTTTCTTCTTTCTTTCTTTCTTTCTTTCACAATGTTAAAATTCTTCTCCCAGAGTGAAAGATTTTCATATGTAATTAAATAATCAGATAATGTCATTAATTGAACTAGAAACCTATATCTCGTTTTCTTACTCAATTCATACATTTCCTGTGGGTCAAAACATCACTTAGAAAACTCTGAAATGGGCAAAACAACTGAATTTTAGAAGTGCTGAAAAGGAATCTCAGAATCATTGCTGGACCTCCCCAGGAATTTCCGGGGGGCCTTTTGCCTGCCTGCAGATACACAGTGAAGGGTGTACCAGAGGCTCTGATTCAAAGAGATCTTATTAGCGATTGTATGAGGGGACAGAGAAACATCACTTCCTTCAGTGTGTTCATTTCCCTAACTTCAGGATGGTGAAAGGGAAAAATATTTGGCTATCAACTTATATTTAAGGAACATGACCTAGGGCAAGTTATTTAATTTTTCTAGACCTTATTTTCTTCATCTGGAAAGTAAGAGTGTGAGACAAGATCATCTTCAGGATGCCATCCAGTTCTACTAAGCTGGAATTCTGAGATCTTTGAGTGATAGCAGTTCAGGAGTTGATGCAACAGTGTAAGAATATTCTTGTGTTTCTGTCCTCAGCACTATTTTGCGGAACAGCTTCAATTTTTTCATGCTGACCCCAACTTAAAACAACTGCTTCTTGGGCAGGATAGATAGTGGGTTTTTTCTTCAACCTCAAATTTTTTAGAAGAGTGGGCCGTATAGATTTAGAGCCATGTAAAATGCTTTGTCATTTTCTAGCCAAGAGGGGAAAATTTGCTTTTTTATTCAAGAACTATTCTCTTCAGATTTCATTATCAGACTACCTAAGGAAATTTCTTGTGAATTTTCGGGAAACTTGCATGACAAAATATTGTGTGACGCGTGCTGTAAGGTGCCATTGTTACTATCTGTTCTTCACCCGTAGCGTGGTATGACTGATGGCCAGGAACAATACTATTACCTTCATTTGGATTATAATTTACAGTTGACAAAGAGGTTTCACATCAGGTATTGCCTTGATTGCCTCTCAGTGAACCATGCAACTGACGTTCCTCCCCCATTTCAGAGAGGAGGAGCTGAGGTTTAGATTTGCCCATGCCATGTGGCTGGCACGCAGCAGGCTTTGGCCGTAACCCAAGAGCCACAGCTGCCTATGAAATTAAGAAAGCTGTCTGCAACTTTACTGGGGAATAGAAAGTGTTGAAACCAGGCCACAGGGCACTCCTTTACAGAAAGATGCAGACATTATTTCTGTCAACCAATTCCTGGTTTCTCTCTTGTCTGGGCACCCAAAAGGATTATAGTCCTCTCCTTGAACTTAGGTGTGGTTATCTGACTTACCTGAGCCACAGCATTGACTTAAAGGTAAGAGAACCCCCAGAGGACTCACTCCCCTCAACCAGGGGGTTATTGAAGGTAGCTCCATCAGTGTGGGTCCTGCTGTCATGATCACAATGAACAGAGTTTTTTTTTTCTTTTTAAGATTTTATTTATTTATTTGACAGAGAGATAGAGCCAGAGAGCACAAGTGGAGAGAATGGCAGAGGGAGAGGGAGAAGTAGGCTCCCCACTTGAGCAGGGAGCCCAATGCGGGGCTCGATCCCAGGACCCCGGAATCATGACCCGAGCCGAAGGTAGACGCTTAACCATCTGAGCCACCCAGGCGCCCCCAATGAACAGAGTTCTTTAGCAATATGCAACCCCTTTAATATAAGCAAGTGGTTTAAGCCAGTAGGACTTGGGGCTTGTTTGTTATTGCAGCTTTCCATAGTCTGTCCTGACTGGTACAGTTTCCTAATTCAAATTAAAATATTTTGTAAGAGAGCTATCTCTGTTGGGTGGACTCTTATAAACTTGAGTTATATACACATACCTTTTAGAAAGAAAATATTCTTCTGGATCTCTCATGTCTTTATTTACATTCATTTCACTAGGGTAAACGGGTGATGGGTATTAAGGAGGGCACATGTTGTGATGAGCACTAGGTGTTATGCGCAACTGATGGACTGTTGAACACCACATCAGAAACTTCTGATGTACTATATGCTGGCTAACTGAACATAATAAAAAAAAGAAAAATGAAGAAAAAAATTCATTTTACTATTTTACTTAAATATGCATAAGCATAAACCTAGGGACACATTCTTTATGCAGATAGCATTTGAACCATTGTGAAACCAAATTACAAAATTAATGAAAAAGAAAAACTGCCTAAAGAATGTGTCCCTAGGTTTATGCTACAAAGCACAGGTTATACATGATGAATGATTATGGCTGTGTGCCAATAAAACTTTATTTACAAAAAAACAGTTCACAAAAACTGTAGATCAAATTTGGTCCATGAGCCATCGTTGGCTGACCCTGCTCTAGAATATGTCAGAATCACAAGGTAGAAGGAATCTAGTCCTTAAATGACTGCATGAGGAAATAAACTTTATACAAGCAAGAAATAAACTTCTATTATGTCAAGTCACTGAGATTTAAGAGTGTTTCAGCATTAGCTGAATACTCCAATATTGTTGGAGGAGGTCATCGAGGGGACATGACCTCAGGTTGACCCATGAGCTGGACCTAGGCAATCAGAGGCTCCTCATCCCCTCCCCTGCACTTCGATTATATATTTTGCCTACCATTCCCGCAATGGGAACTGTTTTCAAGGATACAGCCTTGAAACTTTCAAGGTTCGGGTGGGCAGGTACAGAGATTTACTTGTCTTGTTACCTCCCAAGACAAGCTTCATGTGTAAGTTCCCTTGCTTATGAAACCTGCCACCTAGCAATCCAAGAGTGCTGCCACCTACCAAGAGTGGTCTGCCTCTTTCTTCAGCTTCTCCTTGCCCACCATGTATGGGGGGCCAGTGCTAGATTTCACTCAGAACGCTCCTGAGGTTTCAAACCAACCGATATAATACCCGATCACATAGATGGCTTTCTATAAATATTAGATTTATAGAAATTCCCTTCTTCCCCACATCCCTACAAAGATAGGCTTATTCATTTGTCATAGAACCTTCCCAATACATGTTAGTGGGATAAATAAGATATCATCAGATAAATAATCATCTATGTGGAGCATGTGTGTCATGCAACGTCTATGATATTCCCAGTTGTCACTGTCACCTCTCTCCATCCCACCACCTAAGTGCACCTAGAGGCATATCTGAATTGTTTTGTGCCCCCTTCCAAATAACCACACATTTGGGAGACAGTTTGCCTGGGTAGAGTGAATAGACCTTGGTTGATTGGTTCACTTTCTGTGAACCGCTTGCTCCCTCTTACATTCAGTCTCTGGAACATGTTGCAAAGTCAGCTCTGGGTTGTTGCTCAGCTACTGTGTAATAGCACTCTACAGCTTGTCACCTACAAACCTGCCAACACACCGCCATTGCAGTTTGGTATTTTTACTCCTAATTTATAATCAGGGGGCCTGAGACTCAGAGGGGTTAACTCTTCCAAAATCATATGTTGGCAATATCAGAAACCTAGGCCTGCCTGAGTCCCAAACATCACGCTACCAAAAGTTGGATTCTGCAGCCTCTGGAATCTTATCCACCTTCCCTCCTTGAAATGTATTTGTTGGGGAACAATTAACCTCAGGATGAGTAATTTGTCACCAGTGTTTCAAATTTTCCCATTACACAAGGAAAATGAGAACAATATGTCCTAGATAACACAGAGGAAAGTGCTCCATTGTCTTAATTGCCTTTCTATTTCAATCAAGGAAGGCATTTAATTATTTCTGAACTATATTCAAAACTCTCTCTCAAGAATATTACTCTCCCCAGGTGAGTTAACCAAACCTGTGCAAAATATTTCTCAAGTCTGAATATTAATATCATTTACTGAGTATTTTTATATGTCAATGACTAAATTCTCTCCATTTATGATCTCATATATTCCCCACAGCAAATCTATGAAGTGGAGATAGTCATTATTCTCCTGGAACAAATGAGGAAACTGAGATACAGAGGAGTTAGAGAGTTCGTCCAAGTTCCAAAGGCAGTACGTGGTGAAATCAACATTCCATCCTAGGTCACCCCCTGAGGCCATATTCCTCCCTTCGCCCCTCTGCTGTGCTAATTCTGAAGAGAGAGATATTTCCCCCCTTTGAGTATATGTACAAAGTCAATGTGGAAGACTCACGCAAGATGACTTGAGTCAGCTACTCAAGGTCCATTCGGAACCTCAAGCCTCTAGAATTTGAGGTGGATCATCTGAAGGCTATGGAGTCAAGAGGGGCAGAATCTGTCTGGCTTCTTGCACAACCTGAGGCAAGAAGCCCTTGTTGTTCCTGAACACCACTGCCCTGGGCCCTGAAAATGCCCACATGACATTCACTCAGTCCCCTACTTTAACTTCATCATCACCATTGGAAACCACAGGGAGAGGAAAAACTTTTCTATATGTACTTAACGGCCATTATTCTTACCTCATTATTCTTAGTTCACTGGTAAAAAATAAAGAACAAGCAACTCAGTATTTATACTCTAATATTGAACGGCATGAGCATGTGTGTTTTCTTAGTAAGAAAAAGAAAATACTTTCTGGTACGATGGACTGTACCCTTTGAAAAGCATACACTATAAAACAGAATAGAGACGCGATTTTGAAATGTGTGGCCACGTGGGTAGGAAAGCTGATACTTGCGATTGCTCCCAGTTGTTTAAACTTGACAATAGGTTAGCTGAGGACAGTAACAGGACACTTACATCTTCAAACCCAAATATTTTATAATTTGGGTTAAAAAATAAATAAAAATAAAAAGTGTTGGGTCTTCACAGTAGTCTTAGTCTTGATTTTTTTAAACCATTTAAAAGATTTATTTATTTATTTGGGGGGGGACAGAGGGAAAAGGAGACAAGCAGACTCCCCGGTGAGCAAGGAGCCTGTCACAGGACTCGATCCCACAACCTGGAGATGGTGACCTGATTCGAAAGCAAAAGTCAGGCGCTTAACCAACTGAGCCACCCAGGTGCCCCCTATTATTAACTGTTATAATGAAAATATTCTATTTCATTAACTTTGCATAAGGGCATGTAGGAGAAAACATTGATGTTTTTCAAATATGAAATACAGCCTCTATTCCTAATCAACAAGTGCAATTGTGGATTCTCGGTGTGTCTTTGAAGGCCTCTATTCACAAGTCTAATCACCTATTCTATTGAACCTATTTTATCTCCAGGAAACATGGTAACACTTAAAAAGACTGTATAAGCTCAGCTTCTTACATTAAGATTTGTGAAAATCATATGATATGAGATATGCAAGCAGATGTTTAGTAAAGACTTGAACTATATTCTTAAATACCTGGAATTAGGTAAACCATCTAAACAAAGTTCATTTTCTCTTCATTTTCCTTGGTCCATGCTAGTCCATGGCCATGTGTATAGCATATGGTCCTTCACAACCATTTACACACTCCAATTTCATTATGTTCTGGAAAGACCATAGACATGTTTGAGGGTGTGAGAGACTAAAAATAGTATCATTGAGTTTCCATTTTCCAATCACGGCAGCTGTCATTCAGATCAACACCTCAACACCTCCCTCCCCTGCCCCACCCGATCCCCCCACCACCGGTTCAAATATTTTTTAGATCTCCTGAAGAAAAAAAAACTGAAGTGCCAAAACAACAGTGGGGAGTTTCTAGGCCGGTTTTTGAAGAAACACCTGTAACCAGACAGATTAGTGGACCATTGGTCACTAAGGCACTTACGCCCCAAAGCATTTCTGGCTCCTGTTCACGTGGGCTTCTGCACAGGGGCTGCATGGGGGGATAAGCCGCAGTGGTCAACACTCAGAGCCCATCCAAGGGGGGAAATTTTCAGGAGACCTCTTCACAGTAAGCTTGGATTTCAAAGAGATACATTATCAACGTCAGAGCAAAATTAGTCTAAACTTATTCCGCTTCCCCCAAAGCCGGGAGACTTCTGGCCCCAGACTGGCCGTCAGGAGGATTTATCCTCAGATACTCACAGCCTGAGTTGGTTAAGGAATCTTAAATTGTGAAATAGTGGTAGCCGACTGGTAAGGCATCGAGGAACTCGAATGAGCAACCCCGAAGCATCTCAGGGACGAGTAGACCTGTGCCAGGCCTTGGTTATTTCTACAACTAACTCTGCAAAGGGAAAGAAGGCAAGCAATCCAAGATTAGCAGAAACACAAGGGAATGCTCTGTAATGAAATCCAGCAGAACCCACAGAAAACAGATACACACCAGCACTCTGTTCAGACTGGGAAAGTATCGGACAGACTAAGATATCACCAAAATTACCAGGCTTAAAGAAACAAATGACAAACTGATAACATCTGCAGGAAACAGGTATATTAGTGAAAACATTATATTAGAGCAAACTATAAAATTTGTCACAGCAAATTGGAAAAAGAAACAACTTTTATAAATAAATACTAAGATAGCAAATGTTAAATAGTGAAGGGGTTTAAGAGGAGAATGGATAAAACAGAGGGAGAAGTAATAAATGGATAAACTAAGAAGGTTTTAGATATAAAATTATATCTAATTGTACATACAAATTATATACAACATAATATATAATATATTAGATATAAATTAGAATAAACTATCCAGTGTGAAACATGGAGTAGTAGATAGAAGGAGAGGAAGACACAAGGGGGATATAATGAGAAATCTAGCATACATTTGATTAAGACCTTAGAAGGAAAGGAAAGAGAGGATGAGGCAGAGGAAACGTTTGAGGAGAACATCACTAAGAATTTTCCAGAACTGAAGAAACACATTAATCTATAGATCAAAAAGATCTAGGGAACCCCAAGACAATAATTTTTAAAATCAGCTCAGAGAGTAAATCCTAGACGTTCTCATCACAAAGAAAAAAATTTTGTAACTATATGAGAGGATGGATGTTAGGTAAACGTATTATGGAAACCATTTCACAATATATAGGAACGCCAAGTTGTTATGCTGTACACTTAAATATATACAATGTTATATGTCAGTGATATCTCAATAAATGGAAGGAAGGGAGAGAGGGAGGAAGGAAAATAAATCTACAATTAGATACATGATGGTGAAATTGCAGAGGAACAAAGGTAAAGAGAAAAACCTCAAGCAGCCAGAGAAAAAAAAGACAAGTTACCTTGAAAAGCACAGCAGTTAGACTGACCTCTAACAGAGAGCTAGCTGTTTTCTCCACAGCGAGAATGGAAGGCAGACGACAGTGGACTGGTATTTTCTTTTTTTTTTTTTTTTAAGATTTTATTTATTTATTTGACAGAGAGAGAGATTACAAGCAGGGAGAGCAGCAGAGGGAGAGGGAGAAGCAGGCTCCCTGCTGAGCAGGGAGCCCCATGTGGGGCTCCATCCCAGGATCCTGGGATCATGACCTGAGCTGAAGGCAGATGCTCAACCATCTGAGCCACCCAGGCACCCCGGACGGGTATTTTCAATGTATCAAACGAGCACAATGGCCACCATAGATAGAATTCTGCACCCAGTGCAAACCCAACTAAACCTAGGAGAAGTTGTCCCCAGCAGGTTCTCACTGCAGGACCTCTGTGGATGTGCTTCAGGCAGAAAGACAATGGTCCCAGAAAAAAGATCTGAGATGCAAGAAAGTTGGTGGAACAAAGGAAGTGGAAAATGTGGTTAAATAAAATAAGCATAGATGGTATAAAATGGTAATGAAAATTTCTAGTGGTTTCGAAGAAAAGGGATTAACTTTAGGTATTAGACAACAAAAGCGTATGAGTTGGAATAGGGATAAAGGAGAAGGGATGAAAGGTTCTGCTTGCAGTTTCCTTGTGCTCCTTATTTGTCCAGGAGAGGGTGAAGTTTCTCGGGGCTACTAGACTCAGGTGCGTTAATTTTGCAGGCTGTGATTTCTACGATGTATTGGATCGTGAGGGCTGTCGTAGCAAACCACATACAGACTGGCTTGAAACAACAAAAATTTATTTTCTCAGTCCTAAAGGCTGGAAATCCAAAATCAAGGTGTTGGCAGAGCTGAGCGCCCTCTGAAGGCTCTTCTTTCCTTCAGAGTCTTTCCTTGGGTAGCCCCAGGCTTGTGGCAGCATAGCTCTGATCTCCATCTCTGCCTTCACATGTCCATCCCCCTCCTGTGAGTTTCTGTTTCCCCTTCTTGTAAGGACACCCGTTGTACTGGATTAGCACCCACTCTAATGACCTCATCTTAACTTGATTACATCTTCAAGATCTTATTCACAAATCGGTTCACATTCACCGATACCAGGGGTTAAGACTTCCAATATAATTGGGGGAGAGGGAACACAATCCAACCCATAAATAATATAACAATGAAAACTGTAGAACTAGAGTATGTTACTTCCAAACTAGTAGAAGAAAATGAGTTGAAGATTAAAAATAATACTGATACCAAAACCTAACAAGAACATCATGAGAAAGGAATATTACAGGTTAATCTTATTCAGGAACATAGATTTGTTTTTAAGATTTATTTATTTATTTTAGAGAGAGCATGAGCGGGGGGAGGGGCAGAGAGAGAAAGAGAGAAGCAGACTTCTTCCTGAGCAGGGAGCCCACCTGGAGGCTCGATCCCACGCCACTGAGATCATGACCTGAGCCAAAACCAAGTCTGAGGCTCAACTGAATGAGTCATCCAGATGCCCCTTTGAACACAGATTTTTTTTTTTAAAGATTTTACTTATTTATTTGAGAGAGAGAGAATGAGAGAGAGAGAGAGAGAGCACATGAGAGGTGGGAGGGTCAGAGGGAGAAGCAGACTCCCCGCTGAGCAGGGAGCCCTATGCGGGACTCGATCCCGGGACTCCAGGATCATGACCTGAGCCGAAGGCAGTCGCTTAACCAACTGAGCCACCCAGGCGCCCCTGAACACAGATTTTTTAAAAATGTTAACAAAACATTAACAAATTGAATTCACACTACGTAGAAAGGATATCTCATCAACAAGTAGGGTTTAGCCTTTGATTTTGAGGTCAATGCAACATAATGAAAATCAAGTAATACAATTCACCACATTAATAGATTAAAAGAGAAAACTCATGTTATCATCATCACAAAAGAGAAAATAGACATTGATACAGATAATAATATTACCTACCTTCTAGGGCTATTGTGATGATAAAGTGACTCTGTATCCAGCACTTAGAGCAGTGCCTGGCACACAGTGAACACTCAACAGCATGTTATCTGTTGTTGCTACTCATCAACCCCAGCAGGTTTTTCACATAGACACACGCGTGTGCACGCAAGACATTGGAATAACCAATACGTAGATGAGAAGGTGCACCCTCATTATGATTCAGGCAAATTCAAAATAAAACCAGAATAAGATACTATTATACCCATCAAATAAGTGAAAGTTAAAAAGTCTGATGATACCAAGCATTGCCAAATACCTGTAGAAATACTCCTACACTGCTAATAATACAACCACTTTGGAAAGCAGTCTAGCATTATCTATAAAACTTTTTACCCTATAATCCAGAAATTCCACTTCCAGGAATATGTT